CCCTCCTCCTTCACTGACCCTCCTCTCCCTCACTCACCCTCCTTTCCTTCACTGACCTCCCTCCTTCGCTGACCCCCCCTCCCTCACTGACCCTCCTCCTTCACTGACCCTCCTCTCCCTCACTCACCCTTCTCTTTACCAGGACGCCCTTCTCCAGGGACTGCCCCCCAGTACATACAGCACATGTGAGATGAGCCCCCCTCCTCAGGAGCACATGGTGCACCTGGCCCAGGACCGAGGCATTGGTCCTCATGGCCATCCATGGTGGATCTGGAGTTTTTCACCATGGACCGAAGGCATCAGTTCTGGGTCAACTTCAGGAGTCCTTTCCCCTTGCTGACCTTCTCCACTGCGTGTCTTCTCACTTTCTCAGACTCTCAAGTAACTGTATATTGTCTCAGTGGGAAGGCCAGACACCTGATCTTTCCAACGTCCAGGTCTGCATGCCAGCCACACCCAGCTCCTGGACACTTGCCCTTCACCTTGGGACTGTCCAGCGAGTGCTTGTTGTCCTGCCGATGTCAGGGGGCTGCAGAGCTACTGAAGTTGCCTCTCAGCTTGCTGTTTCCAGCGAGGATTCCAGATAGTCTAACGTGAAAGCATAAATACAGTGAGGTCCCACGCCACCAAGGACAAGCGGAAGAAAGAATAGGAGGGAACCTGTCAACACTCAGTGAAAGACCCTGGGGTGAACAGATCCAGGCTTATCTGTGAGGCCCTGGCAGCCAGAGTGGAGGCAGCCATGGCCACGGAGCGTCCTGGAGGCAAAGGCACCTGGGTCTTTCTCTTGAAGGACTTTATTACAAGGGCCCAGATGTCACGTATGCCCACGTGGACTAACATGCTCTGGCAGCCATACCTGCTCCAGTCCCTGACGCTCAGGTGATGTTCCCAGCCTACCTGTACAGAGGGTAAGGTGCAGACCCCTGCTGCAGGCTTCCTCATGGACACAGCAGTCAGGAATGGACATGGACTGGCCATCTGCTGAGAGAAGACCACTGCCTGGTCAGCACATCCATGTGGTCACCTGATGTTCTCAAGTGGGACTGACTCAAGGGATTACTACAGAAGAAAACAACCCTGGAGGGCGGAGCCCTGAAGTGAAGACAATGACCACAGCAGGGTGCAGCCAGACCCTCCTTGTGGAGACACTGTGTGGGTTTGAACTGCCAGCCTAGAGCACAGACCATTTGTGCGATCTAAGGACCTCATCAAGGATCCCTGGGGGTACAGTGCGTTATAATGGAAAGGTCAGTGGTTTGAATCTACCAGTTGCTCTTAGGCAGAAAATGAGGCTGACTAGGAAGCCTGGTGGAAGTCTCCACGAGTTGGAAATGAACTTGAGGCCATGGAGTGGATGTGAGGAAAGTTGTCCTCATGGCAGCCAACCCCCAGAAGAAAGCCCTGGTGAGAAACACGAAGAGAATGACGCCTTCTATCCAGACAGACCAGCCATTTGGATTTTAAAAACGTGTTGTTATTATTATGAGGCACATTTGAAATTATTATTGTAAAGCATTAGAAAGAAAAGAACGAGAAATTGATACTAAAATCACCAATAAGAAGAAAGAAGATATAATATCAGTATTAGAGAAAGTGATATTGATATGTAAGATTAAAAAGAATTATAGTAGGGGAGCTCTGGTGGCCTAGTGGCAAGAAGCTGCACTGCAATCCCAGAAGCGCATGGTTCGAATCCACCAGATGATCTGCTGGGGAAGGAGGGACAATTTCCTCCTGTACCAGTCAGATCCGATTTGACGGTATACACACACACACAAATAAAAAGAAAAGAATTATAGTATAAAAGGGGCCATTTTCCACAGAGACCCTGTGTACAGCAGTTCTGAACCCTGCTCTGTCCTGAGACAGTTTCACTAATTCTGACACACCAACCCCCACTGTCCCAGTTACTGAATCAATCCATCTCATCCAGGATCTTCTCT